CTAGAAGAACTGGAGTCCTGATGTGAGAACCTGCTTCAGACGCTGGACTCCAGTTAGACTCTGAAGTTGTTTTATGAAGGATCAGAGTTCATGTTTGTCTGTTAAATATTCTCCAGAATTCATGGAAAGTATGTAACAGGACTCAGTGAGCGCCCCTGCTGATTGCCTCTGAGTGCTGCTTTCAGTCTCCAATGATCCTGTAGATGGATTTATGGAGACTTTGAGGGATTCACTGCAATCCCGCTGTAGTTAGTCCCTCACAGCTAAACAACTACACTTGCAGTTTTAATTTCCAGCTCAGTGTCATCTGTCCAGCAACATTTCTTCATCTGGCACTTTTCCTTTATCATTTCAGTTTTTCATTTTATCGGGAAACTTTGAAATCACAGCATTCAAACTGTTTAAACACACAGAGTCAGACTGCTGATACTGACAGCTCACACATGAAGTCACAGTTCAAGATTTGTCTCCAAAACTGCACAGAGACATAAAAACGGAGCCGTATTGAGCTCAATAGATTGTGTCATTGATGCTGATAATAATTAATGTGACATATGAGACATATGATGTAACTTCCTGTTCCCTTAAATAACCCTCTCACTGCATTCTGACAGTGTGCCGTAATAGTGGGAATAACACCAGTGGAAAGTTGTCATTGATGCGACGTGCTCATGAAAAAGCTGCCAACAGTTTGAACCTCACTAGCTCAAACCAAAGTCCTTTTAGAAGGAAGTCCAGCAGCTTGGCAGCCATCTTAAAACCCCTCTGAGTGCTTATTTGGGCAGCTTTCTGAAGCATGACCTAAATTTACATTAATTTTAATGGTACTAAAAACTGATTGTATGGAAAAACACTGATTTAAAATACTTCAACAATCTGCTGGCTGCCACACAGTAAGTTTTAAAGTTTTCTGGGAGTTCTTCTTTTACAGCCATCTTTACTTTCAGGGAAATCTCCCACAGATTTCAGTTTAAGATTGTAGTGCTGTCTCTCTGTGATAAAATCTCAGTAACATCTTCAGCTGCAGCCTGAGCCTTCCAGTCGGAGCCTTTTTCATGATGGGGAGTCTGATTGTTTGATAAGGCCCAACTTCAAGGTCTTGTGTGTGCAACTTTGAGAAAATATTGTATATTTAAGGAAGCCGTTAAAATACTATTATATCAATGAAATAAGTTATTTAAAAACAAAAGCTTTGTTAGAGTCAAAGTAAAAATAGTTCTTGTAGAACAGGGGTCAGCAACCTTTCTGATGGCGAGTGCCATCTAAAATTTCCTCAGAGGTCAGTGTGCCATATGATTGCATTAGCAATAAATTTAATAAAGCTCTATATTAACAGTTACACACTATATAGAATTATATTTGTTTGCAGATGTTTGCAGCAATCAGCGAATACTTATCAGCTATTTTGAAACAAAAAAAGACTTTTTATCCATAACAGCAAATGAACTGTACAACAGAAAATACAAATGCTATTTATGGTCTCCTCACAACAATGATAAGAAAAATAAACTGGGCCAATATGGCATGTTTGTTAATACAGAGACACACATGTTAATGTGATCTCTGGTCTCCCACTCAGGAGTGTTTGGACCAATGTTTTATTTTCTGATCAAACCAGAAATCTTTAATGAGCAGCTGGATTTGTCTCACATTAACTGGCTGAGTTAATGCCAGTTAATGCAACATCGAAGCAGCTGGAATCCACAGCTGTGCGTGTTCATGGAGCTGCATGTTCACCTGCTGGACGTCACTACCTGACAGGTTTAACTGTCTTCAGAACATTGCAGAGGCCTTATTGACAGTGTTTGGCTCTACATGTCTGTGTGAGCAGATTTTCTCTCACATGAGTCCTCAGGTAGCCTCTGAATGCTGGACACTCGGAGACCTGTGTCTCTGTCACATAAAAATGCGTCAAAATCCAAATCTCACAATACATGCCACACAGTTTATTTTTTGTCATATTACTATTTATTAGCTATGGGTCCTATGTTGCTGAGCAGTTCCATAGTTGCCTGAAAGTCCCAAAAATGCATTGTGTCTCGAGTCTACGGATGTATCCGTGTATCTCCGTGGTGCTGATGCTGTGCTGAGCGGACAGCTCCTGAAGCTTTTGAAGTGTCGGAATGTGGAAAGCTAACAACGTCCCTCTCACCAGTAGGCTAAGTTATTTTTAGCCAATTACAAGTTGAATCTGGTAGTTGGGGTTGTTAGTTAAGATACCGTCATTAAGAAGAGGCACAACTAATGTGTCTATGCGAGCTGATTTGCGATGTGCACCGCTGGCGCCATTTATTTTTTGATGCACCTTCTCAGATTAATTCACTGTGTGTCGTGCCCAGGGCTGGACTGGGACAAAAAAACAGCCCGGGCATTTTGACTAGAGACCGGCCCACCAGGTATTAAAGCCATAAAGCCTTTGAATGAAAACAAACGCTGTTGTGACAGTGATGTACAGTCTTGTTGGTATATGTATGATTTCTATACATTTTATCATGATAAAAACTTTGGTTGTAAGCTTCAGATAATTATTTAATAACAGCCAGACATTTTAAATGAAAATAAGAAAGTATTTCTTTGTGCCCCCCTTTCCCTGTTAATGCCCTACCTGCCCCCCTGGCAACACTTTGCTAGACCCGCCCCTGCACAGTTACCAGCTGTCAGCTACTTAGAAAAGGATCCTGGTGTTATTTGTCTCTCAGAAACAGTTCATAACTTCCCTTCAACTCATTCATGTCACCTAAAAGGTAAACCTGTTTCTCCATCACAGCTCTGATGATCCAGTAAGGACATCTCCTGGTTTCATCTTCATGTTTCCCTCTCACCACATATCCAAACCGACATCATGACCAGCAGCTTTACAGCTGTGGCTCCAGCAAACATCAGCTGATACTAGAAATTAATATTAAATAAATTCTAACAACAGCTGATCAAGCTTAAACGTGCTGCTGTTGTTTAGCGCGACATCCGCTGGTTTCCTCTTTCTGGCACAAAGTGGGCGATAAACAAACAAGAGAGAAAAGCCGATCAGCTGATCATTGATCAGTTTCATGATTAACCTCCTAGGACCTGGCGTCCACATATGTGGACATCACATTTTGGGTTATTTAGACCAAAATACCCAATTTTGCTCTACAAGGGCCTGATATCCACTTACGAGGACATTATACTGCTACTGTTCTATCAAAACTTTAAACGAATATCCTCATATGTGGCTCTGATTTTTCATAAAAACAAAAATAAGGTAAAAAAAATATCTGGTAATTCTTTGTTTTTACATTCATCGGGCCCCAATATGCCCAAATATCAAAGAGAAATTAAAAATGCATGTCATGGAAGAATTCAGGTCTTAGGAGGTTAAGGTAGCAACAGGGGAGGGAGGGGAGAGAATGAGAGTAGAAGAGGCAGCTGTGCAGCAAAGACAAAGAATAACTCCAGCTTTGTGTCTTTTTCATTGTAGCTGAAGTCTGGGACAAACTGCGTCCCCTCTCAGCTCAACACGAAACGCGTAATAATTTCTCTGAATGCGGGAGGATTCCGTCTTTTTACGGGACGGTTGGCAACTCTACTAACTAACCTTATGAATGAAATAAAGTTAAACATCAGTAACATCAAAGCACCCACCCAGCTGTATAGGAACTCTGTCATGCTAGCTAGTACGCAGTACGAGTTATTGTTGCAAAAAGTCAGCACAACGAAAATAAACTCCACCTAAACTTGGTTCATATCTGACCCAGATAGACTGCAGGTTATAACTTCTTACCTGAAGTTCAGTTCACCGCCTCGGGTCTCTGCTCCTCCTGCCTCCGATCTCCCTCATCCACCTGCTGGCCTCCACCACTTGTTAATTTTACTGAATCTGTGGAAGCTCTGCGATGCCACCAGCATCTGGCCAATCCACCACCTTTCATTGTTTATACTGTTACAAAATAAAAAATAAATAAATAAAAAAAATAACAAAAATCATCGGGCCACCGAGCAAATGATGGCCAGTCCAGCTATGGCCGTGCCATCAGTTAACCCTTCGCGTGCCAACTGTGGCATGCGTGCCTAGGGTTTCCAACCCCTGTTGTAGAACAATAGTATTTTGGATGTAAATTCTAGTTAAACATGACAGCATGAGAGTTTCTTTCAACCATCATAGTACTCCTTTTTACTCAGATACTTTAAAACCATCTACTGAAAGATGATTTATGATGTAGTGGAGGTTTTTAAAAGATTGTTTCATGTTTACATATATATATTTAACAGTGATTCAGTTCTCCATCTGATATACTCATTTCTAAATGTGAAATGAGTAAAAAAAAAATGAAAAAAATCTTGGTGTCTTAACTAATTTTTGGGGGAAGGAGATGTGGTAGTCAAAATAGAGCTGTAACTCCTAAAGTTTTCGTCCAGTTTAAATTAAAGCTACATAGAAACCACCAGGTGAAATTATATCAAACTCATCTTATTGTTAAAATTTGCCTCCACCTTCCTTTTGTTTGCTGTCCACATTATTCCTGAACAGAGACAAAATATTACTTGTTATTTTCCTTATTAACAGTAAATCAGTGTCTGTCTCTGCACACTCAGCAGGAATAATCAGTGTGTGTCAGTGAATGCATCGTGTGTGCTTCATGGCTCCAGCTAGTGGACTGATAGCAGAGCAGCTGATGGCAGCTTCCTCTGCCTCACACTGCTGTCTGACTGCATCCAGCTGACACTGAGATGAAGCAGGAAAGAAGCAGCTGATATTTGGACAGCACACATGATGAAAGGAGGATTTCAGTTGATGTTCACATGAATGATTTGTGTTTCCTCTGCAGGTAGAAAGTGTGTGTGAGCTGAGCAGCATGGATCAGTGTGAGGACAGAGAGGAGGGAGCCCCTCCCTCTAAAAGCACTCTGTGTGGGGAACATGAGAGCCAGACCAAAGCTCAGAGGTGACCATCTCTAACTGTCCATGACTCTTCTCCATGTCACAGCTCAGCACTCACATCACTGCTCCATCATTATTCACAGGAGAAAACGTAGAAGAAGAAAACCTAAACCTAAATCTGAACCTGAACCCAGCTGTGTGTCCTTAAAGAGTGATGTGTCTAAGAAGGCAGTCATTGATTTTAAAGTCCAGCCTCTGTCTGCTGCAGAGAGGTGAGCTGTTAGTAACATGAACTCTCTGATGTCAGTTTGATGTCTGATTTAAATGAACTGCTTTATGTTTGTTTGTTTATTTATTTCAAACATGTAAACAATATACAGGTACATTAGTAAAGAAAATAAGAGAGAAAAAAATACTATACAAAAGTCAATACATTTCAATGTTACTACCGTTTTGATTCATTTACATGTTGAAAGAGAGTGGGAAGAAGTACACACACTTATTTAATCCCACCCCTTTGTCATAAGTTATCAGTTAATATTTAGTCAGCTTCCTTACTGATATAATCTGTGATAAAAATAGTGAACAGATTTCTGATATACTATAATATCACATCATGAATTTCTTTAAATAGAGACATTCACTTAATTTCAACATTTTCCCTCTCCCTTATTTTGAGAAGATCATATTTTTATAACTCTTTTTGAACTGTTTTATGTTTGAACATTGCTTTTTAATTCTACATTCAGACAATTCCACAGTTTCACTCCATGCACAGAAACACAAAAGCTTCTTCTTGTAGTGCGTACCTTCCCTGTTTTGAAATGACAAAAACCCTTTAAATTATAAGTTCCTTCTTTCAAAAAAAAAAAAATACTCTGAATATTACCTGGCCGTTCTTTATTTTTTGCTTTGAATAGAATTTGTGCTGTTTCTGGTCTCTAAACTGCATCTCTGGAGCCATCAAAGATCTTAAAATCACCAAACCATTATTTCTCATAGTGTAACAGTGATGATAATATATTGACCAATATTCTACAGAACAATGAGTGAGATTGTCACCAATGAATTACATCACTGACCAACTCTCAGCAGTTAAAAAGCAAACAAACAAAATGCAAAACATTCTCCTGGATAAAGATATGACTGAGTTCTAGCACATCCATATCTCAGTGGGTTGAAAATTGATTTACTGAAACAGCACTGGGAGCCAGTTTAAAAAGAAGAAGAAGAAGAAGAAGAAAATGTCATTAAATACTAAATTTGTTGAGACATTTGTTAATAACAAATGTTCCAGTTAAACAATGTAGTAAAAAATACAAAGTACGTCTGGATGTCAAATGGATTATTAAATTCTTGTGAAAAAAAAAAGAAAAGAAAAAAAGGTTTTTACTGTGAAACTGTTTGCGTGGGTTCCCTCTGGCTTCCTCCCACCATCCAAAGACATGCAGTTTGTGGGGATTGATTAATTCAAATTGCCCATAGGTGTGAATGTGAGTGCGAATGGTTCTCTGTCCCTGTGTGTTGGCCCTGCGACAGACTGGCGACCTGTCCAGGGTGTACCCTGCCTCTCACCCTCTGACAGCTGGGATAGGCTCCAGCACTCTATCCATCCATCCACTTATCGTGGATCAAAAATAGAAAGTATGACAGTCAGTGTGGATTTGGACACAGATGGGAGAAGAAATTTCAGGAACAATAAGAAATTCTTTGTTTAAAACAGTTTTTGACACAATTATAAATATTAAATATGAAATAAATAATGTGTAAATCTAACAGACAGCAGTTCATGAAGAAGGATGAGTATAAAGCTGAATGATGATGACATCATCGTTGACCACAGGGGTCAGTCTGAGGGCAACGATGATGTCTGCTATCAGTTAACATACATTCGTAAATTATTACATAACATTAAAAGAGGAAGGATCAAAGAAGTGTAACCTTCATCCTGCTCTCTGTGATGAGAAGTCTGCACAGGAACTTTGCTTGTCTCTCCTTCCTGACAGCAAAAGTCACAATGAGCTTCCTGTTAGTCATTGTCTTGTCCATGGAGAGCAGTCAGAGCTTTAAGATGATCCTGTCCCCTGATATTTCTGAGGAAGGTCTGGATCCTCTTCAGAGGAGAAAACACGTCTCCAATTCGGCTGTTTCCTGACTGTGAGGACAATCTCTGTAGGTTCTTTTCTGTGGGAGAACACATAATTCAAAATCTTTAACTTAAAATAGAAAACTCAAAATTTTAAGATGAAAATTCATGAAATGAAAACAGTTTAAAAAATGAAGGACACTTTGTTGTCCTTAATAGTCCCATCCTGCTGTACTGCTAATGACATATTTTGAGCAACTTCATATTTAATGGGCACAGAAGTATCTTTTCACACTGATACCATCAGTATATGTGAACATAACCAACATTTCTTAGAGGAACATCAGTCTGTATTCATTGTAGTCAGCGGTTTAAAAACATACCTTTTATTTATAATTGAGAACAATGTTGTCCAGCTTTGTTTCTGCTGCTGATCCAGTACCAACGATGCCTTGGCTGTGTGTATCTGCTGATACTGAGTACAGTACCAGTGTTACATTAATAAGCTGTATTCTTCTCTGTGAGGAATACAGCTTATAAATGTAACATTGAGAATTATTATTTTATTTGAAAGGAACATCAAGCTCAACCTAAAAAAGCTTTTCTAACTTTGTAAAATCAAATAAAAACATGTAAGAATATAAATTTACTGAGCTGTCGGTATTAACTTCTAAAATAATGGATGAAAACAAGATAAAACCACTAACAACATTGAAAGTGTGGTGGTGTTATTGATTGAATATATTTTCACTGGTCTTATGGACACAGCTGGAGTCAATAATATTTAATATGTCAGCGTGAATATAATAAAAGCTCACCAGTGTTACACTGACCAAGCTTCCTTCTAGCTTCTCGTATAAAGTCTCTGACTGAACCTATCAGCAGTGAAAGTAAACCAGCAAGAAAAAGCAACATTGTTGTTGTTGTTGTTGTTGAATATTTCCAGTCATGTCGGCTCACTCGGACCTTAGTTTACAGTCTTGTAAAAGCTTGGTAAAAAAATACAAACTCAAACTGTTGGTGCAGGATGAAATACCTGCAAACTGCTGTCATCTGCAGAGGAATTGCTTGTTTGAAGAGTTTCAGTCAGGTTTCAGAGCTCATCACAGCACAGAAACAGCTTTAGTGAAGGTTACAAATGATCTTCTTATGGCCTCTGACAGTGGACTCATCTCTGTGCTTGTCCTGCTAGACCTCAGTGCAGCGTTCGATACTGTCGACCATAATATCCTATTAGAGCGATTAGAACATGCTGTAGGTATTACAGGTACTGCCTGCAGTGGTTTGTATCATATCTATCTAATAGACTCCAGTTTGTGCATGTAAATGGAGAGTCCTCTTCACACACTGAGGTTAATTATGGAGTTCCACAGGGTTCAGTGCTAGGACCAATTCTGTTTACATTATACATGCTTCCCTTAGGCAGTATCATTAGAAGACATAGCATACATTTTCACTGCTATGCAGATGACACCCAGCTCTATCTGTCCATGAAGCCAGATAACACACACCAATTAGTTAAACTGCAGGAATGTCTTAAAGACATAAAGACCTGGATGGCCGCTAACTTTCTGCTTCTTAATTCAGATAAAACTGAGGTTATTGTACTCGGCCCTGAAAATCTTAGAAATATGGTATCTAACCAGATTCTTACTCTGGATGGCATTACCTTGGCCTCCAGTAACACTGTGAGGAACCTTGGAGTCATTTTTGACCAGGATATGTCCTTCAAATTAGAAATATCCTGTCTCAGAGTGACGCTGAAAAACTAGTTCATGCATTTATTATTTCCAGGCTGGACTACTGAAGTACTGACTTTTCCTGCCAGATCTTGATCTGCTCATATATGACCTGCTCATATATGAATTAACTCAGACTCAGCTACATCAAATACAAATTAAGATTTTCCATTTTTTCTGCTTTAAATCATCAGAAATTGAAATGAATTGATTGCAGTACAATTATGATATTAAATGGTTTTAACTTTTACAAATTTCCAAGAAAATAGAAAAATAAGTTTAAAAAAAATAAATAAATTGGAGAGGAAAAACAACAAAACAAAACAAAGGACAATAATACAGAAGAAAAGATTAAAATACATGAACAAGATGTTATAACAAAGTGTGCAGAGGCAGATTTTAAAATGTTTATGAAACATTGAACTGACTGAGTTGATCTAACCTAACACTGAAAGGACGTTTGTTCCACTGTGTGAAATACAAATGCAATAATCTGAACAGCAAAGAAGACTGTCTAGTTTTTAGCCTGCTCATTTCAAATAACAAAACTGGCCTTATTAATTCCACAATGTTTTATTTGGTTTGTTTGTTTTTGGAAGAACCTGTAACAACAGGGAGTCATATGGGAGTTACTGTGCTTCTTAAAATCTCTCTGAGAGGATCTTGACCTTTTCATTAAAATTCTTCATGGTTCCTCCACAGAGTGGACCAGCAGAGCTCAGAGGTTCCCAGTGGTCAGTCTGCCCAGCAGCATCAAACACACCTGGACTCCATATTTATGGTCTGTCCATGTACAACAACTACTGTTACATCTGTTCTGTTCACAGTCATCTCCATGCTCTTTGTAGACCAGTGAATTGTCAGTGTGTCCAACATGGGTCTGATGTTTGGCTCCATGATTTCAGTCTGATTGGCTCATTCATAAAGTATTCTGTTCCAGCTGCTGGAGGACAACATCATCACTTTTGTGAAGAACGAGCTGAAGAAGATCCAGAAGGCTCTGAGTCCAGATTACCCAGAATGCTTAGAGAGTCAGAGGGAGGATGATGAACAGAGCAGAAGCAGAGAGGCATTTGTGAAGATCACACTGGGCTTCCTGAGGAGAATGAAGCAGGAGGAGCTGGCTCACCGTCTGCAGAACAGTAAGAGGATTTATGTAAAGATTTAAGCTGGTGGATGAATAAAATGTTTAGTATTGTTGCTAAAGACTAACATCTGTTGAATTATTCTGCATGTGCACTTAATAAATTGTTGAGATTCTGAATGAGAACTAATGTTTCTAGAGACAATCCAAGATATGTTCAGTCATTTAGGGGGACAGAAATTTTAGTAAAACACAAACTGATTATTGATTGTCAAACTGATTGTATTTTTATTACTGTTATTCAGAACTTCATGCTGCAGTTTGTCAGCGTAACCTTAAATCTGCACTGAAGCAGAAGTTCCAGTGTGTGTTTGAGGGGATCACTA